ACTGAGTTTCAGGAAATTCTCGCTATGGCGGAGAAGCTCGACTTCTTTCGCCGACCGAGACCGGGGTCCTACGGAAACAACACCTGGGGACATCGGCCTCGTGGGACGAACGAGAGCGCCACGATACGCGCCGTCGCCGCAAATGCCGCTGCCGCACCGTTCAAAGGGCGCTGCTTTGCGTGCAATCGGCCGGGACATCGCAAGAGCGAATGCCCGGAAAACGCTAAGGGAAAGGGGGAAGCTGAGCAGCAGACACAGACCAAGCAGCAGGGAAACGCTGGAAGTCAGTAGCAGACGGGCCCTCTACTGACAGGTCACGCCGCTCGCCCGACCCAACCGACCCTCACCGAGTGATTGTGCCGGTTCACGCAATCGACCACACCCGGCCGAATAAGGAGGGTACCACGGTAGATAGCCCTATACTGCTCAGTGGGAAAATTGGGACGGACTTAGTTAAAATCTTCGTAGACGGGGGAGCCAGCCACAGCCTCATTAACACTGCTACAGCACGCAAACTGCGACTGCCACTGGACCGATGCTTACCTGAGATCCACGCACGACTGGTAGACGGCACGCCGCTGGCAATACGGGAACGCGTAGACCGAGTTCGGATTCGATGCGGGGGTAACTTCACGTTTAGTCAGGAAATGCTCGCAACGACCCTCGACGGAACCGACATTTTACTCGGGCGTGATTGGCTGCGACGACACAATCCGCGAATTGACTGGACGACGGGTGACTGCACCGTGCGAGTAAACGGTAACAACATCGCCTTACCTCGCTGGGGCTCGCCTGAGTCTTCGTCGGTGCGTGTCAACGCGATCACGATGAAACGCGCTGTTGCGGCCGGAGCTGACGTGTACGCGGTTGACATTCGGGAAGCCGAGGCAGCAGACAAGGGGGGCTATTTACAGAAACTGCTGACCGACGTACCGAGTGACCTGGCGGCACTGTTAAAACAGTACAGTGACATTTTCCCGGATGACTTACCGACGGGACTGCCACCTCAGCGACCGCACGATCACAGGATAGAACTGGAACCGGGGGCACAGCCAACAGTACAGCGACAGTTCCGACTGACCCAACCCGAACTAGACGAACTGAGGAAGCAGCTCGATTACCTGCTCGAAAAGGAATTCATTCGCCCTAGTTCGTCGCCCTTCGCCGCACCAATACTGTTCACACCGAAAAAGGACGGGGGTTTTCGCATGTGCATCGACTACAGGGCACTGAACAGGGTTACCATCAAATCCCGTTACCCCATCCCACGAGCCGACGAACTGATCGACCAACTGCGCACAGCCCGGGTTTTCTCGAAAATCGACCTCCGAGGAGGCTACCACCAAATCCGCGTCAACCCACCCGACTGCCCTAAAACCGCATTCCGAACACGCTACGGATCCTTCGAATACACCGTCATGCCATTCGGACTGACCAACGCCCCCGCCACTTTCCAAATGACCATGAACGAAGCATTCCGCCCGCTTTTAGATAAGTGCGTCATCGTTTATCTGGACGACATACTGATTTACAGCCCTGACAGAGCACAGCACTTACAAGACATCGAAGCAGTTTTTAAAATCCTGAGTGAGAACCGCCTACTGACCAAAGCATCTAAGTGTGAGTTTTTACAGGACCGACTGGAGTTTTTGGGACATGTTGTTTCAGCTGCAGGAGTGGAAATAGACCCGAAGAAAATTGCGACGATTCAGGCTTGGCACGCGCCGACCAACTTGACTGAGTTGCAGAGTTTCCTGGGGTTCGTCAACTACGTGCGCCGGTTCGTCCCCGACATGGCGAAGCTGACTGCCCCGTTGACTGACCTGCTGAGGAAGGGGGTTGAGTACACGTGGGGGGAGAAAGAGCAAGCTGCCTTCTCGGCCCTCAAAAATATTTTGTGCTCCCCGCCCGTCCTTCACATTGCAGATCCCCACCGTCCGTTCGAGCTCGTCACCGACGCAAGTGACATCGCTGTGGGAGCAGTACTGTTGCAGGATTTCGGGAACGGCCTCCAGCCAATCGCGTACGAGTCCCGCAAGTTACACCCGCCCGAACGTAACTACCCGATACACGACCGCGAGATGCTAGCGATCGTGCACGCGTTCAAAGTTTGGCGATGTTACCTGATTGGCGCCGACGTGACAGTACGGACAGACCACCGCTCGCTACAGTATCTTCGCGCCCAACCGAATCTCAACCCACGACAGATTCGCTGGTTGGACTATCTCGAGTCCAATTTTCACTACACCGTTACGTACAAAAAGGGTGCATCCAACATCGCCGACGCTCTCACCCGCCCCACCGCCCAACTCCATGCCATCCTACTCGCCCAGACCAACCCGCTTTTAACTGGCCTATTCACCCACGGATACCGCACCGACCCATTTTTCACGACCGGAAATTCACAGCAACTGGCAGAAGCAAAAGGAGTCTATTACGTAAAAGCAGGCACCAACCGCATTTGGGTACCCGCGTACTCACTACTGAGGGAGCTGCTACTACAGGAGGCACACGACGGGATTACCTCGGGACATTTCGGGGTAGAAAAAACGCGACAGCAACTGCAGCGGTACTATTACTGGCCGGAGCTGTTGACCGACGTACAGCAGCACGTGGGCTCGTGCCCGACGTGTCAGGTGATGAAGAGTTCAAGGAAGCGGAAGGCGGGTCAATTGCAGCCGATCCCACCGCCCGAACGCGCCTGGCAGCAAGTAACCATGGACTTCGTCACAGGGTTACATTCGAACCCTGGGGGTAACGACGCGGTGATGGTCGTCGTGGATAGGCTGACGAAGATGGCACACTTCGCTGCGTGCAAAAAGTCGATCTCAGCCGAGGAGACCGCTCGCCTGTTCATCGCAGCCGTTGTTCGCCTGCACGGGATACCAGCAGCAATTATCAGCGACAGGGACACGAAATTTACCAGCAACTTCTGGAAGAACCTCTGGGAGCAGTTCGGGACCAGGCTACAGTTCAGTTCGTCGTACCACCCCGAGACCGACGGCCAAACGGAGCGGACGAATCAGACGATGGAGCAGTTGATTCGTGCCACGTGCGACGACCCCACGACCTGGGAGCAGCAGCTGCCGCTGATCGAGTTCGCGTACAACAACACCACATCAGCCACGACGCAGCAGTCCCCGTTCTACCTGAACTATGGGCAGAACCCCACAGTGCCCATGACGCCGAGTCCGGACAACCCAACGCCACGCGCACAACAATTCGCCGAAATCCTGCAAGCTGCCCGCGCCAGAGCCGCCGAAGCAATAAAAAAGGCCAACGTCATCGCTAAGCGCAACGCTGATCGCCACCGCCGCCCCGTCACGTATCAATCTGGAGATTACGCGCTACTCGACACGCAAAATCTGCGACTGCCCGACGTACCAAAATTACGACCACGCTACTGTGGACCATTCCAAATCAGTCACATGATCACACCCGTCACCGCACACCTACTGTTGCCAACCGACTGGTACATCAGCCCTTCGTTCCACGTCAGCCTACTTCGCCCATACATCCCGACCACAAGTCAACTGCCGCGTCACCGGCCACAATCAATGACTCGCCCTGCATCAGAGCCGATCATCGAGCCCGAAAAAATTCTGAGCCATCGGATCCGCCACCCCACGGGAATCAGGAGGATTGAATTCCTCGTTCGCTGGAAAGACCGCACGCCAACTGAAGATAGCTGGGTGCCCCTGAGCAACATCGAAAATCACCCTGCCCTGCAAGTGTACCTGAGGAGCCGGGGATTCCGCGATATACACGAACTCGCGTAGCGGAGGGGGCTTCTTGAGGGGGGGGGGTAGTGTAAGGAATTTTCTCGGCATTCCTTACGGAGCCGACTACATCGCGTACAGCAACAGCCGATTGTTCGCCCGTTACTGCTAACGGAACTTCGCCGACTTCGCGCGCACTGTTTTACCAAACCTCGCACTGCTGGCATGGCCGTATCGGCCTACGCTTCGGGACTAGCCCGAGCCTCGCTCCAGCGTAGCACTAGCAAGCTCGCACGCACCGCGTTACCGTTTTGCATGTTTCGCGTATAAATGTTCGCTCATGCCTTCGCTCACATTTTGTACTCGTTTGACACCTTAGTGCAATTCTCGCTACCTCGATTCATTGCACCCGTAACAACTAGTAACACCCAGGCGTCTGGACGCCCACAAATCAGAGGCGATGCCTTCACGACTAGTGTAGCCTTCAAGTGTAGAGGCTCCCAGTGCCATGGGCCTCTGAGCCGCTGCACCATTGCCACGGGTCTTGATATGGCGTCATCACTCTCCTGCCCATTGCCTTCGCCAAAGTCGATTCCGCCAGTTCGCTTCACATAGCTATGAATAATCGTGCACCTGATAATGATGTTACACTGAGTGGCAAAGCGATATGGCCACATCAAAGGGATAGGGAATCTAGCCTTGAGTTGTCGAAAGGCACACTCTACGTGCGAGTACAACAACGAATGCCACCTATTGAATATTTCCTGCTGATTGCGTGGCAGGAAGCAAGCATCCCTAAATTGTTGCAAATGATAGAGGGTCATCCTGTACGGTGTTAGGCAGTCATTGCGGAAGCCCGAGTCGGCTAAGAGGTACTGATTGCGTGGAAGTGCAAAGCCACGGGCCAGCGCATCCGACCATAAGGTTGCGTCATGAGTGGATCCTTCCCATTTCACTAAACAGTATATGAAGTTACCATGGAAATATACTGCTGCGAGGACGTTCTGCGAAATATTTATGTGCCTATAAGAAAACGGGGCTTGACGGGAAGCGATAATGTGGGTCGAGATGAGCGTTCCATCTACTGCTCCAATCGCGCCACAAAAGAAGGCATATTCTGGTCGCAGGTCAAAGGCATCTTTCTGGCTATCTGTTGGTAGGTTGATGAATACCATTGACCCTCTCCCTTCCTCCCCTCTCCCTTCCTCCCGCCCTTGGCAGCAACTTGAAGTCCAACCTGTTCTCCGGTGCCCTCCCGCCTGCCCTGGGAAATCTCGCAACATGGAGATCCTGTGAGCCTTTCCATTCCAGCCTTTGCCTTGCTCTCCTCTCCCTGCTCTGCTCTCCTCTCACCACCTCTGCTCTCCTTGCTCTGTCTGCCTCGTCAAACGCCCCACCCCCCCGCACCCTATTCCTGTTCCTGTCCAACCTCCGCTTTCATTCCCTATCACCTTCCCTCTTCGCCCCAATCCCCAGCACCTTCCTTCCCCTCCCCACTCACCATCCCAAAAATTCCTTCCATCTTCTCTCATCAAATCACAATCACAGCTCCCCCCATCCCCCTCCCCCCTCGTCCCTCCTCCACTCCCCACTCCCCTCTCCCCACTCCCCTCTCCCCGCTTCCCCCTCCCCACTCGCCTCTCCCCGCTTCCCCACCCCACCACAGCGACATGAACACAAATAATATCACAGGCGGCCTTCCCACAAGCATCTCTAGCCTCGCCAAGCTCTCTACCCTGTCAGTACCGCTACCCCCATGCCGCTCTCTCCATGCCGCTCCCCCCATGCTGCTCCTCGCATGCCGCTCGCCCCATGCCTCTTCCACCTTTGCATATCGCATTGTGTCACTGCTGCTGCAGCAGCAGCTGCACTGCACCGCCACTCCACAATCTTTAAGCTTATGCCCATGCTCAATCCAACATCTTGTTAGCCGCGTTGTCAAATCGGAAACTCTGACATGACGACTCTCGCAACGACTGAATGGCATGGCGATGGTGTGACATGACATGGCATGGCAATGGCAATGGCAATGGCAACGACATGGCATGCTGCAGTGATCTGAGTTACAACAATCTCTGCGGCCCTCTTCCTTCCACTCTTGGCGCCCTGTCTGCTCTTGTGGCCCTGTAAGCTACCATCCCCTTGTTCCTGCTGCTCCTGATTTCTCCCCTCTACTTTCCCCACTTCTCTCCCTCTTCCCTCCCTTCCAACCCCCCCTCCCCGCGAAACCCTACTTCCAACCTGAACTTCCAAACACCTCAAGTCCATTCTTCTCGTCGCCTGTCCCTTCCGTTTCTCTGCGCTTCCCCCGTTCCCTCCCCTCCCTCGTTTTCACTTCCCCCCATCCCCTCGAGCTCACCCATTCCATCCTGCTTCCGCCTTTGCCCCCCATTCACACGGATCTCTGCCTTTGAAGAAGCTAGAACTACTATCACAAGCATACCACACCACACCACCACACCACACCACACCGCATCCCATTATTCTGGTGCAGGAGGAAGGCTCACCATGTTAACCAGCCTCCCCTGCTTGCCATGACATGGCAGCGAGCTCAACGGCAACGGCTTCTCAAGCTCCATCCCCCCTGCGCTCTTTACCCTCACCAAAGTCACCATCCTGTAAGCAGCCCCCTCGACCTGTATGACGTGCCCCCAACCCTGCCCTGCCCTGCCCTGCCCTGCCCTGCCCTGCCATGCCCTGCCATGCCCTGCCCTGCCATGCCCTGCCATGCCATGCCATGCCATGCCATGCCCTTCCTCTACACCGTTGGCTCACCCTAGCCCCTTCTATCCGCTCACCCTTTCCCCACCCCTCACCCGTTTTCCAACCCAAAATCGTGACCTTTCTGTCTTGCCTTCTCGCCTGGCCTTCTCTCTCTCACCCACTCATCGCACAATCTCTAAGCTCCTCACTTAACACAGTGCATCCCACATGCAAACAAAGTTTCCCCCCCACCAAATCATCACCACTCTACACTTCCATGCTTCAAATCATGGGTGGTTCATTCAATCACCTTCCATGCCTCTTTCCGCATCCCCCTGCATCAGTCCCACCAACGTGCCATCTCCCCTCCCGGATGACCTCTCGTGCTGCCTGTCCTGTCCTGTCCTGTCCTGTCCTGTCCTGTCCTGTCCTGTCCTGTCCTGTCCTGTCCTGTCCTGTCCTGTCCTGTCCTGTCCTGTCCTGTCCTGTCCTGTCCTGTCCTGTCCTGTCCTGTCCTGTCCTGTCCTGTCCTGTCCTGTCCTGTCCTGTTCTATCCACCATGGCAGGGGCATGAGGAGTAACGCGCTCACAGGCAGCATCCCAGCCAGCATTGGCTCCCTTGCATCGATCCTCGTCCGGTGAGTCGTTCATCGTTCAGGGACTAACAACAACCTGCTGCCTTGTTGTTTTGAGCCGCCTCGAGACTAGACCCCCTTGCATCTCTTGTCCAAATGTGAGTCTTTCTGGGACCGACTAACAACCTGCTGTCTCCTTGCCATTTGTTCATGTGATGTGAGTCAAGCTGTTGCTGTTGTAGCTTGCCTATACTGCGCATAAAGTGTGTCCTTCCCTTGCACTGATTTCTCAGCTCAAATTTACCCTTCCTCTCCATTATCTCCCTCTGACTGTATCTCCTGTCTCGGCCTGGCTCCATCTGTCTGCCTGTCTGCCTGTCTGTCTGCCTCCCTGTGCGTGCGCATGAGCAGCGATCTGAGTGGGAACTCGCTCACGGGCACCGTGCCAGCGGTCATGGGCAAGCTAGCCAAGCTTGACGAGATGTAAGCACCTCTCACCTCCGCACCCTGCTTGCCACCCGCTTGCCACCCGCTTGCCACCCGCTTGCCACCCGCTTGCCACCTGCTTGCCATCTCCCTTGCAGACCAGTCCGTGGTGTCCCATCACCACTCGTACCATGCCACTCCCACGTTCACTCATTTTCTCCCTCCCCACTTCCGCCATTCACCTCACGCTCTCCCTTGCCCCTTCCCCCAACTCACCCCCCCCACCACCCTTTTCCTCGCCCCTTCTGCTCCCCCCACCGCACCCGCTATGCAGCAATGTGAACTCCACGGGCCCAACCAAGGTGCTGTGTGCGGCAGCGGGGGTGTGTGTGGTCAATCAGGTCGCCACCTCTGCCTTCTGCAAGAAGTGCACCACCTTCTGCAAAGTCTGCACGCCCCCTGGAAGTGAGCCCTTAAAGCCCTTCTTCTCAGACCGTGTTTGCAAAAATTTTCAAAGAGTTTTGTCGTGACGCACTTTTCTCTTTCCCGTTTGTCTTTTTCTTTTTTATTTTTTAGTTCTTTGAGTTTTCAGGATGGCTTCCACTATTCCCAGGGATTCATCGTGCTCTTCCCTGCATTTTCCTTTCGTGTTTGATTTTTTCAGAGAACACTAACCCCGCCGCGGGCCTACCCCTGCTACTGCGCCCCCCCCCTGCTACTGCGCCTCCCCCTGCCACGTCGCCTCCCCCTGCACTGCCCCCTGTTGTATCTCCTGCACCAACTCCTGCAGCTCCAGTCATTCCTCCTGCTGCTTCTCCCTCCCCAACTCCTGCCCCTGTTTCTGCCGCTCCCACTCCTGCCCCCGTTTCTGCCACCCCCACTCCTGCACCCACCTCGCCCCCTGTCATCGCTCCTGTTCCTGCTCCGACCGCCGCTCCCCCAGTCGCATCTCCCCCCGCGCCTGCTCCTTCCCCCACCACAGCTGCACCACCGCCTGCTCCTCTCACAGCTTCCCCTTCCCCCCCCACAGCTTCCCCTTCCCTCCCCACTGCTTCCCCTTCCCCCCCCACTGCTTCCCCTTCCCCCCCCACTGCTTCCCCACCTCCTCCTGCTGCACCTGGCGCACCTGCCTCCCCGTGCTGGAGCTATTTATGGCATTGGCTTCGGCACGCTGCTGGCCTCCCTGGTGTCAGCAATGGCGCTGTACTTGCTGCTGTAGGAGTAGTGTTTGTCACTGCTTGTTGGTGCAATATCAATCAGGTGAAGGAGAATTCCTGTACGCAACAGGAGCTAGCACTACCGAGTACGAAGTCGAGGAGTCAGGTGAGTCGAAGCGACGGAAGCAACAGTCAAATGACCGGTGCAAGCAGAAGCATTTGGTTGGGAAATGGCGAGAACAGGTTCAAAATGGGTTCCCGCATCGCACAGTTGGATTACGATGCAATAAGGGAATGTATCCCTTAGAGTACATGGCTAGCTAAGTCATTTTGTATTCGTTTGTGATCTTTTATTAACCTACATATGTGTTTGTTGTAGTAAGGGTGCGTCAGATCCGCTACAAAGTGATTTGGCTGCAAGTTTGGCTGCAAATTTGTCGCCCTTTTGGTCGACTCACATTTTCGCCAAAGTCGACTGAATGGTCGAATGCTAAACCGACCACCATCCAGCCACATTTACAAGGTGTTGAAATCTGACAGATTTGGTGGCTGATTTACAGGCCGGATTGCACAAGAGTCAGATTTGCAGGTCGTAAAGTTGGCCGGATTGTGCGACGGTATCGCACGTATTGTTACTGAAGTGACACAACCGCTATTGTGCGCACCACGAACAGAGAGTCAAGATGTGAGGTGCGGCTCCATTTACAACCCGGCTCGGAGAGATCGTATCGTCTACCCGAACTGAGTGTTACGAGAGTAAACAAAACCGAGAACGTCCCTACACTCTATCCATTATCCAACATGGCGGATCCTTTCACACCCAGATGGGCACGACGTTTAGCAATCGGCCTCACGCACGTTGTGCTCATCCCCTTGGTCGCTGCAGTCGGTGTCATGGTATGGTGCCCTTGCTCCTTGACTTTGCCGACGAGAGCGATTACCAAGTGTTCTGGCGAAATGACCGAAGTATTCAACGAGCTCGTTGGATGGAGCGCTTCTTGCACATGTCACCAGACCACCTATACGAAACACTGCGAGTTGATCGTGACGTATTCGGTTACCTCGTGTCGCTCTATACAAGTGTGACCCCGGAAAGTGGTCATGTTCAACGGGGCTGAACGCGCCGTGCGAGTCGTCCTTGTGACACGTCGAGTCAGTTGGGTATGTTGGCCAAGTCGCACAGGTACTGTATTGCTGACGAGTCGACAATGTGGTCGACTCGTGATTCGTTTGCACGTCGGAAAGTTGTCGACCGCTAAACCAGCCATCAAAGCGGCCATCAATTTTTTAGCAAGTGGCCGGATTGTGCGAAATTGACGGAATACCTTACAAATGTCGTGAATGTGTAACCTTCGCTAGATCCTGCCGGCCGGATTGATCCGGCCAACGGATCTGACGCACCCTAATGTCTTACACTGCAATATCACTATGAGATCAATGCAGAGACAACCCTGGAAAAGTTCCCCATGCCAGGCCGTAGGAACACGTTCTAAAAACAGGCTGGTTCGCGCTCCTTCCTGCTTGGAAGATTCGAAACCTGGTCCTTGCACCGCACTGGTGCGCACCATCACGCACCGGTCCTTGCATAACTCCTCTCAACCACTCCAACTCCATCATACAGCCTTCCTTCATGTAGTCAAATACGGTTTCGCAAGTTCACCCCATGCGAACAGTCCCGCTGCGCATACAGAGTAACAAAATTGCCTCTTCCGAAATCAAACTCGCGTTCAAGCTTTTCGTGTGTGCGGTGTGACTCAGTTGGGCTCCCACAGGGCACTGCACTACGCTCGTGCACAGCCTGCGAATTCGCACGCAGCACCACACCAATGCTTGAGGTCACCAAAAATGTGAACACTCCCGTCTCCCGACTCGGTGAATATCTTGCTTGAGACCAAGAATGCAGTGCTCTCGCTAGCTCCAAGTTAGTTTCACAGGACTGAGAATTGAAATTGCGTCTACGCGCTTCTTTCACTCTTACCCTTCTCCCTCACGCAATAGGTGGATCCTGACAGGCTCGTAAATGCTACCGGACGGGTAGGTGCCTTTGGCCAATGTTCGCTGCAGATGCTGCCAAGCCAGGCCGATGGGGGACCGCAGCTTTCTGCTCATTCCGACCACGTCTTTAAGTTGCTTCTCGTCGGCGACTCGGGCGTGGGGAAGAGCTGTCTGTTGCTGCGATTCACCTCAGACACATATGACGACATGTCGCCCACTATAGGTCCGAATTGCTCCTTATGACTTTTGAGTCGTCTCAAAAGGAAGAGCTGTCTGTTGCTGCGATTCACATCAGACACATATGACAACATGTTGCTTACTATAGGTCCGATGCGAATTGGTCCAGCTTGAACCCGTTTGGGTAGTTATCGATAGTAGACGAAGCCTGAACGAATAAAACTGACTCGTCCTGAGCATGTCTTTCTACACGCCACGCTTGCATGCATCAATTCACTCGTTCTTCGAGCGCCAGCACCACGCATTCGCCCATTCTCCAGTCGGCGCATCCTTCCTCCTTTCCTTCCTTCCTTCCGCCCTTCTTTCCTCCTGCACAGACCTGCCCTTATCTGAACTTAGACCCATTCATCTCTCCCCTGCTTCACCATACATCCCAACCCTGTCTCCCACCTCCCACCTCCCACCTCCCACCTCCCGCCATTCACGTGCCTGTCCGTGGCCCGCGCGACCCCCCTTCCCTCACCCCCCAGGAGTGGACTTCAAGATCAAATCCGTGATTGTCAACGGCAAGCGGGTGAACCTCACCATCTGGGATACAGGTCCGTTCTGCGCCCCACCTTGCCAATCACACCACACAAGGAGCAACCGAGGTGCCTCAGTTACTGAGGCTCCTTAAAAATCGTCTCTCGCACACAACACAATCAAGCGGGCGATATGCCTCGTACCTTCCCTGCTCCCTCCTACGTCCACAGCCCGTTCTCTGTCTTACCCCTTCCCAATCCGCTCCACCTCCCCCTGTCCTTTCCGTTCTCGTCCATGTGTCACCAGCTGGGCAGGAGCGCTTTCGAACGCTCACCAGCTCCTACTACCGGGGGGCTTCGGGAATCATTCTAGGTGGGTTGCACTAGCCGCTTGCTTGTGTGGCGCTTCAAGTGTGTGTCGGCCAGTGCAACGCACTCAGTTGGTCGCTCTCTGCCATCCACTCACTCACTCACTCACTCACTCGCTCACGCACGCACTCAATCTGTCATGCTGAAGATGACTTGGTGCGTTTCTTCTTCTATCATCCTTCCTTAATCCGGTCATTCTGCAAAAGTGAACAAAGGTGATTCTGCTGTGTGGTCAAGTCCACTCGACAACGAAAGCTCCTCCCCTCCCCTTCCATCCAGCTGTATCTTCCCACTCTCCTTTTCCACCATTCCCTTTTCCCTGTCACCTTTCGTTATTCCCTCGTCGTTCCCCGCCCCAGTCCCCCTTCCTCCCCTCTTCCATTTCCCCGCGCTCCCTCCCTTTGCTCACTTGCTCTCCCTCCCTTTCCCCCTCTCACCCCCACCCACCCCCATGCAGTGTACGATGTGACGCGCAGGGAGACGCTAACGAGTGTGGTGGACGGGTGGATGGAAGAGGTGCAGCGCTACTCCACACTGCCTGGCTGTGCGCTTATGCTCGTGGGCAACAAGGCCGACAGGGTGAGTGCACGATAGGTCATGTTTCAAGATCCGAGACGTCTAAGTACGCAAGGGGTGGATGGAAGAGGTGCCACATTACTCCACACTGCCTGGCTGTGCGCTTATGCTCGTGGGCAACAAGGCCGACAGGGTGAGTGCACGATAGGTCATGTTTCAAGATCCGAGACGTCTAAGTACGCAAGGGGTGGATGGAAGAGGTGCCACATTACTCCACACTGCCTGGCTGTGCGCTTATGCTCGTGGGCAACAAGGCCGGCAGGGTGAGTCACAGAGTGCAGGGGGGTCTATTTCTTAGGCGCCTCACGATGGAGGAGGAGGTGCAGCGTCACTCCACTCCACACTGCCTGGCTGTGCCCTTACGCCCATCGGCAACAAGGCTGAAAGGTCAGTGCATGGGAGGTGTTGGTTTGAGATGTTTCGGAGCTTGATAGGGTGATTAAGTGAAATAGTGCGTGAGTATGTGTGTGGGTGGTTGAGTGAGTATATGTGGTGAGTGAGTGAGTGACTGAGAGAGTGCGAGGTTGAATGGGTGGGTGAGAGTGAATTTGTGAGTGAGGGAATAAAACAGCATTGAATGAGTGGATGAATGAGTGAGTGAATGAGTGATTTAGTGAGCGAGTGAGAGAGCAGCAGTGGGACGGTATGGCAGTGTGCGGTCTGTGCTGCAGAGTCTTCCTTGGGGCCATACAACTGTGCTCTCTGTTCATTCACAGAGCAAGGTAGGGCAAGGTATGTGCACGCACAACGTTAACTTCCCAACATCCACAGGAATCAGCATCTAAAACATCTCCAAACCCCGTTTCCTTCTCTACCCACCGCATGACCTTCATAGAAATCGAATTCCCAAGACGTTCCAAAACCCTGCCTCTCGCTCACTGTCCCGCTGTGCGAACCACCCGACAGGAAGCGGATCGCGAGGTGGGCAAGGAGGTGGGGGCGGAGCTGGCTCGCTCCTGGGGCTGCCTGTTCCTCGAGTGCTCCGCTAAGACACGCCACAACGTGCAGCAGTGCTTCTCCGAACTTGTGCACAAGGTGGGGGATGAGGCGGGTGAGGGGAGCAGGAGGGGTGGATGGGCTTTTCGCTATTTCAGGCGGCTGGAAAGGGGGAGGGGGTGTGTTGGTTGCTTTTTTATGCTGCAAGGTGAAGGGGTACTGTGTCGACCATGCTTCTCTCTCTTCATTCCATCTTTTCAGAGGAGATTTCATGTTTCATTTTCTCCCTATCCCCAGTGCTCGAGTTTCAAATGCACGCATTTTCTCCGCCGTTTCTTCTGCTCTCCCCCCAACCACTCTCCCTCGCTGTGTCTCCTCACTCAACCCGTCCCGCCCTCCTTCCCATCATCCACTAACGGCATCACGCACCTCTTTCTCACCATCCGCATCCGTGTGTACAATAGATAATGGAAACGAGCACCTTGGTCGACCCAAGCTCGGCAGCACATGCGGATCTGCCCAGGATCCTGCAACCAAGACAAGGGGAGAGTGGCGGTGGCACAGGCTCATGTGCTTGTTGACAGTGGCTTGAGAGAGGTCACTTGTCTATTCCAATCTGTTGCACACTGGCAGAGGGGCAGAGGTCGTGGTGCCGGGCAGATACATGAACATTGGATGCTGCTGGGTGGTTGCTGCTGATGCACTTGCGGGTACAGATTAGGGGGCATATCGCATGTAAGGTAGAGGTATCGTTGTCAGGCTGTGTTTTGTATGAATGCAAATAATTTGTAAGCCTCATTTGCACTGACTGTAGTTGGCTACTGTACAGTGACTCTGCACACTCAGCCTCTACTGGAAGTTGAGTTAAGATTTGATGAGCCGTTTCTCATGGTTAGTCTTCCAAGTTATACAGAGATATGAATGCGAAGTATTGTCTTCCGATCATCGCTCAAGTGTATCATTACAAAATGGGGCGTCGTTGCCATGCCATTTCTACCTGAATATCAGTGACAGAGAGTTGAGGGTGTAAATCCTGGTTCTACTAGTCAATCCGAAAGAACCACTTGTAAACATCCACAGCTAGCCACTTCTTGCAACCTCCGCCAACCAGTCGAAAGGGAACGTGTGAAGAGCAGCAAGAAAACGTTTGAAGAGCAGTAACAGTGACATGAGTAAGCCTGCACCTACTCCTGCAAGAGCACACAAAGCAAGCCTGGCAAACTGCACTCCTCTCCCCTCCTCTCTCCCCTCCCCTCCCCTCCCCTCCTCTCCATCCTCTATCCCTCTACGCAGCAGCAGGTTTCGAATCCGTCCCAGCGCCCTCCTCCCCACCCGCACCTGCACCCGGTGCAGCCACCGCCTCAACCACCTCCACCACCTCGACCTTGTACGCGAAATCCGCGGGGATCCACGCGCGGCTCTTGGCGGTCTCTGCAAGCGCGGCAAACTGCAGGAACGCGTTGGGGAGGTCGAGCACGAGGTCAGGGAGGGCGTCGGCCACGCGCTGGAAGCCGCGGGCCATCTGGTTGGTGGAGATGAGGGCCTCGTCTGAGGCCTCCTGGAGAAGCTGCAGCACGCACGGCTCGTGCTTTGGCTCCTCCATTGCTCGCACCAACGTCTGCTTCACAATCTGCGAGGCGGGGAGGGGGAGTGGTGGAGAGGGTGTGCGGTGGGGTGCGGCCGGTGAGGAGGGAGCGATGGAGGTGGATTGTAGATGTAGGTGCGTTTCGACAAAATAAGTGCTCATAACTGAAGCACCCCCCCCCATCCACATCTCCATCCCCTCCAAATGCGCATCCCCAGTCCCATCCACAATCACTTTCAAGATTCTGTGGCGCCACACGCACCTCGTGGTGGAAGAAGGGCAGGTTGAGCTCACGGATGCAGCGGCACGCCTCGCCAAGCTCCCCGCCCGCCACATACTCCGACAGCAGCGACGTGACGCTCTCCTTGGCGTCAGCCACGCTGCGCCCCACCGCCGCACTGCCCCCCCAGCACCGCAGCAGCCGCTCGCCCGCGTGCCGCGCTGTGATCAGCGCCTGCGCCATGTGCACCACCTCCCGTGCCAGAGACGACGCCGCCACTGCCGCCAACGCCGGCCCACCGCCTCCCACCGCTGCTTCCTCCGCCTCTTCGGCCGCCGCTGCCGCTGCCGCTGCTGCAGGGCCGGCAGCGTCGGCGGTGGTGGTAGAACCGGTGGCAGGAGCGCCGGAGGCAGGGGTAGGCGGAGGCGCGGAGGTGGTGTCGGCAGGAGGAGCATCAGAGCCGGTGGGGGTGGCGGGAGGGGCGTTGCCAGGGAGGCCGAGGACGAAGTGTGGGGCGAGCACATCGTCGATGACTGCACGGGCGATGAAGAGAGCAAGCTGAGAGGCGGCATCAGGGATGTCGAGCGCCAGGTCGTCCACGGCCTCGAGCAGACGCAGGAAACCCATCTCCACCTGGGAAAGCAGGGAGCAGGGATGGCGGAGAGAAGGGGGGCGGGATGGGGTGGGGAGAAGATGGGATTGCAGAGAGGCGGCATCAGGGATGTCGAGAGCCAGGTCGTCCACTGCTTCGAGCAGACGCAGGAAACCCATCTCCACCTGGGGTGGGAGGGCGGAGCAGGGGTGCGGCGGAAGGGGAAAGGGCAAGTGGGATGTGTGAAACGGAGAGCGGATGCTGTTAAGGCATCGGGGATGTCGAGAGCCAGGTCGTCCACTGCTTCGAGCAGACGCAGGAAGCCCATCTCCACCTGCCAGGTGGGGGGGGAGCAGGGGTGGGGTGGGAACGGGAAGGGGCGAGTAGGGTGTGTGAGACGGAGAGCGGATGCTGTTAAGACGGCATCGGGGATGTCGAGTGCCAGATCGTCCACTGCCTCGAGCAGACGCAGGAACCCCATCTCCACCTGGTGTGGGGGGGGGGGGAAGCAGAAGCCGGGGAGTGGGGATGGGGTGGGCAGAGGATGAGATTCCAGAGTGAACGCATCGGGGATGACGAGAGTCAGATCACGGCTCCCGAGTCCCCAACGGAGACAGCAGCCGCAGACAGGTTGAGCTCGCGGATGTAGCGGCGAGTCGGTCAGATCACGGCTCCCAAGTCCCCAACGGAGACAGCCGCAGGAAGCCCATCAGGAGTGGGAGGGAGAGCGGGGGTGGGGTGGGGGTCGGATCGGGACAGAATGAGCGGAAAGGTGGAGGTTGCGGTTCTGTGGTGCGTGAGCGGGTGAGTGGGGAGAGAAATTGTTTCTGTGGGTGCTGACGGGAACGGTTTGGCTGAAGTTAAGTGTGCGCCCCGCTGGGATGTGTGGAGCTGAGTCACCATGCACTCACAGTTTAGGTTTCCTTGGCCCACCCACTGCACTGCCCCATTTCTTGTATCACTCATAAGCATTCTTACTGCTGTGAACAGTATGTCTGGAAATACATGCACTCCTGACCCAACCTCAAGCATCCACCACTCAGCGCACGCATTGCAAGCTTTTCGAGTTTCCCAAGTTTCCCGCCCATTCCCTCCCTGCGTGCGCGCCTTATCAGTGGGCACCACGTCTTGGAAGAGCGCGGAGAGCAGCTGAGAGGCCATCTCGCACATGTCATGAAAGAATCTCTCGAGTTACCCCAAACACCCACCCTTCCCATTGCCATCCCATCCCTGCGTGCGCACCTGATCCGTGGGCAGCACGTCTTGGAAGAGCGCGGAGAGCAGCTGAGAGGCCATCTCGCGCTCGCGGTTGTTGCGGTCGAGCGCCATGGTGACCAGGCGCTTCACCAGGTGGTGGTGCAGGTCCGGGTACGCCAGCTCCTCCAGCGACCGCGCCACCTCCACCACGTCTCCCGACTCGAAATACTCCGCCACGATCAGTGATGAGCAGGCTTTGAAGTCCTGGAGAACCTGTACGGATGGGGGAAGGGGAGGGAGAGTGGAGGGGAGGGGAGGGAAGGGGGACGGGGGGGGGGGAGAAGCAGGGGAGGGAGGGGATGGATGCGGGGCGAGGGGAACGCGTGAGGTGTGCCTGCGTCAGGGTCCTTGTTGGCTTCACTTCACCAGGTGGTGGTGCAGGTCGGGGTCTTGGCTTCTTGACATCCTCCAGCAGCCGCGCCACCTCCGCCACTATCAGCGACGACCGGGCCTTCAAGTCCTGCAGGACCTGTACGGATGGGAGCAGGGGAGGGTGGGGAGGGAGGGGAGCGGAGGGGAAGGGATGGGAGGCGATGGGTGGGAGGGGAGGGGAATGCCTGAGGTGCCTCAAAGGCTTTGAAAGCCCCAACATTCCTTCAACTGAAAGTGATCCGCCATTGAAGTAATCCCGCCCAATTGTAACCTCCCATTTTTTTGCCCTCTTCATCATCCTGTTCCCTTCCCTCCTCCTTTTCCCGCCCCTCAATTCCAACAATGTTCCAACCTCCTCCCTACCAAATCCCCATCTTCCCTCCGCCACTCACTATCTCCATCCCTTAGCCCTCTTCCCCAACGCCTGCACCCCCCTCCCCTCTCACCCCCCTCTCCCTATCCCCTCGCCTTGCCGGTCTCCGTAGTAACAGAAGCCTCAGCAGCAACGAGGTCATCTTAGACGCGGTCAGCGTCCCACCCTCCCCTCTTCCCCCTCCATCAGCCACCCCTCCCCCTCCCCTCCCTTCTCCCCGCGCACCTTGCTGGTCTCCGTAGTAACAGACGCCTCAGCAGCGACGAGGTCAGCCCAGACGCCGTCAGCGAAGGCGGAGGAGAGCCAGCCGTGGGACGTGGCGTGCGCCACCATGCGCTGCAGATCGTCCGGCGCTGACGGCACGTCCAGAGCCAGGTCGTCGATGTTCTGAAACACACGCCCGAACCCCTTGCTCACCTGCAGGGAAGGGGAAAAAAGGAGGGGGGGGGGGGGGGGGGGGGGAGGAGAGGATGAGAAGGGGGTTACGGTGCCACAAATATGGTATCGTCACGCCCTCTGGCGACGGCGTGTCCGGAGTTATGCTGGTGTGGGGGAGGGCTTGTATTGCACAGCATGCGGGAGCCACACACCCAACGCCCTTGCTCACCAAGTGCGGAGGAGGAACGGAGGGGTGGGTGGTAAGGACGGGGGAGGAGAGGAAGAGGGGTAGGGGGGAAAGAGAGAATGAGACGCGGGAGGGGGGCGTGGGGAGATTGTGGACCGGAAAAAGTGGGAAGTGGAGAAGGTGGGGAGGTGGACGGGGGGGGAGAAAGGGAAGGGGGGGGAAGGTGGAGGGGGGGGGGGGGGGGGTGGAAGAGGGAAGGGGAGGGGGAGGGGGAGGGGGAGGGGGAGGGGGAGGGGGAGGGGGAGGGGGAGGGGGAGGGGGAGGGGGAGGGTAGCTGAGTTAGTCAACTGCATGCGCCAGGCGTTAACTCTACCCAGTGTCGCTTAAACCCTTAGCCAACCGCTTAAACCCTAGCTCCTCGTTCCTTGATGTTTCATGTGTTCATGCGAGCAGCGAGTGCTTGACTGTGAGCTTCCGTTACCCCATCGTAAGGTATCAAAGAGAGCATTCCCGTTTGTACGACATCAAACACTAATTGCACCCCAGACTCGCAACTCATGAAACTCCAAGGGCAAGGGTTCCACCTTTCCCTGCGATCCTCACCCCCTCACACTCCAACGCACGGACAAAGGCGGATGGGCACTAAGCAGCAGGCACAGCAGCGGTGGGCGCGGGCGGGCGGGCGGGGAACTCACTTGGCTAGCGGAGATGAGCCCCTCCTGTGCGGCCTCCTGCAGCAGCGACAGCAGCGCCGCCTCCTTGGGCTTGTTCTCCATCGCCATTATCAGCGCCGCCTTCACCACCTGTGCACAGTTAGGGGGGGGAGGGGGGGGGGAAGGAAGTGGGGTGGGAGGGGGTGGGGGGAAGGGGGGAGGGGAGGACTTATGTTTTGACCCAAACCTTGCCTCCTTGGGCTTGTTCTCTATGGCCATTTTTAGTGCCGCATTAACCATCTGTGCACACTAGAGGGAAGGAGGGCAATAACCCCACCACTGTGTTCTGAATCCCCTAAGCCACGCGCCCACACGCTCACCTACTTACTCAACCCCCCAACCACCCAGGCACCGCACGCACCTCGTGGTGGAAGAAGGGCAGGTTGAGCTCGCGGATGCAGCGGCACGCCTCTCCGCGCTCGCCGCTCACCACATACTCCGCCAGCAGCTGCTTGATGCTCCCCTTCGCGCCCTCGTACGTCACGCGCGCCGACCCCCCCCAGCACTTCTCCAGCACCTCCGCGTGGTGCGCGCTCGCCAGCTTCCCCTCCGCCGCGCGCACCACCTCCAGCGCCCGCCCGCCCGTTCCCCCGGGCGCCTGCGCCGCGCCCGACCCGTCCGCTTCCCCTTCCCCTTCCCCTTCCCCGTCCTCCGCGCCCGCCTGCCCGCCCGCGCCCCCGACCTCCCCCGTCTCGAGCTTCTTCGCCATGCGCTTCAGAAACGCGGGCGGCAGCACGTCATCAACCACGGACCGCGCGAGGAACGTCGCGAGCACATCACCGGCACCAGGGCAATCAATCTCCAGATCCTCCACGCTCTCGAGCAGGTTCTTAAACCCCTTCGCGAGCTGATCCGGCGCGATGACCGCGGCGTAGAGCGCGGAGAGCAGCTGCGCCGCCATCTCCTTGTGGCGGTCGTTGCGGTCGAGCGACATGGTGACGATGCGCTTGACCACGTGGTGGTGGTAGTGCTCCTGCGCGAGATCCTTGAACTCCTGCGCCGCCGCGCTGATGTCGCCCGACGAGAAGAACTCCTCGAGAACTGCCACGACCTTGCGCTTGTAGTCCTCCACCGTGTGGGCGACGGGCGTCGGGACCGCCACGTGCATCGCCTCGTCTTCCTGCGCGCCGAGCGCGGGGATGGGGGCGCGCCGGGAGCGCGGAGAGAATGGGGGGGGGTGGGATGGGAGAACGAGTGGAGGCAGTGACGGTGACGAAGGAGCGGATGGGGTGGGGAAGGGAGACGGGCTTGGCGTTGGGAAGCAGTGGTCAAGGAGACGACAGGACGCGGGAGGGAAAAAAAGCACATGCATAGGAGGCGGTGGGAAAACAGAGACAGCGACAACGCGGAGCGGGATGCTGGATGGGAAAGGGAGGCAAGGAGAGGGGCATTGGGAGATGGAGGGAAAGAGAGAGAACAGCAGGAGCGAGAAGCGATAGGGGCAGCAGAGAGGACGCAAGAAGCAACACGAGTCCAATAGACCGGGCGCACACACATGCGCTGCCCAACAACAGTTACCTGCCTGCCTGCGTGTTATCGTGCGTGCGTGTGTGACCCTATCATACACTCCAATAAGCACCTCGTCGCTGTCGCACAGCAACGGTGCTCACCTCACCGCTGTCGCCCAGCGACGCTGCTTACCTCGTCGCTCTCATATAGCGGGTCGCCGGGGTCCATCTCGTACTCATAGTTGTGCGGGTCCAGGGGATCGCCCCACGTGCCCTTGCCGCCCCCGCCAGCTGCAGGCCCTTAAGGGGAACATCAGAAACCGCGCACGCACGCATAGAGAAAGACAGAGGCGCAGACAACACGCGCACGTGCACGCACACGCGCAGGCACACACCCACGCCCACGCACACGCACCCGCACACCCGCACGCACGCACGCACGCACACGCATACACGCACGCACACACGCGTGCGCGCACGCACGCACACACACACACACACACACACACACACACACACACACACACACACACACACACACACACACACACACACACACACGGGGCACAACAGCCGTTCAGAGATTTCACTTTTGATTCCATCACGGAGTGGGTGTCAACACAAGGGAGTTGGACCATAGCCATCTATGCTCGATGGTCCTTGTTCAACAGGCCGGCGAGTGTTTTGTAGGTAAGCCTGAAGGCAGAAAAGGGCAGCCTGCATGCACACGGAACATCTGCCGCGCACGACGGCCTATAACGCATTTGGTGGTCTATACGACAGCGGCAATCCAGGATGAACCACGTATCGGAAGTGTTGAAAAATGGTTGAGGGTGCGCACGCACGCGACAGACAAACGGTGCGTATTTATTCGTCAAGAATTAAGGGCTGGTAACAAACTTGGCGAAAGAAGGAAGCGACGGATTAGATGGAACGCAACTCTCTCCTAACTGGGAAGTGAACCAATACTGTCTTGACTAAAAAAAACCCCCAGATTTTGCAGAAATTTCAAGTGTTCAATAATGACTTGGCGGCGACAAGGGTGCTACATATTTTCGGCGCCTAAAGAAAATATCCTTGCACACGGAACTTTATTCAAGCTGCACGATAGACGTGCTTAAATCGTCTCGACATTCAAGACAGCATGAGCGATACGTGCTACATCCGACGATGCGAGCAGCGGCAGAAACAGATTGAGTCGACTAGAGCCGCGTACCTTTCTTAGGCCGGCCGTTAGTGACCTGATGCGAGCGACGCTCCTGCTTCGAAGCGACGGCGCGATGGTGCGCGCGCGCAGCGGGAGGGTGCTTCGTAGCGTGCTCGATGTGCGGCCGAGGCCCTGTCGCCTCCTTGGGGTCCACCGCGCGGACTTCCCCGCGCAGCGCGTCTCGCTCTTCCAGCGCCGCGCTCAGCACCATTCGCTGCGTCTCCGTCAAGAATCCCGGGACCCCTTCTTCCCCGGAAGCCATTACCGCAGAATCGAGTGGCGAGGAAAAGAAGAAGCTAACGTCGTTGACCTTAAACCCTTTAATGCAAGTGCTAATTTCTACGACGAACTGACAAAATAACCACTAATCTATACCTACAACTAATGATTTTTTTCTGTGTATGATGCTGAGTGTCCAAGACCTGCTTCGAGACTCGAGTTGGAGTTTTGGGGAAAATCCTCCTAGACTCGCTTGCGCGAATTTTGTCGCCAACAAACGATAATCAGAGAACTAGGATCTCGGCCTAATGAGTGGAAAGAGAAATATCACACTTATAACAAAATTTCAAACTTATCCGTTGGTGGACCCAAGCAAGGCTGCTTCCTCCCTAATCTCGACAGTTGACACAACGAGATGCGGAGACAATGGCTCATATTCCAAACCCTCTAATCCTTTCACGAAGTCTTCTCGCTGCTCTACAGCTGTTACTGGCTAATCCCGAGGTAATTCCTTCAGCTGGATTGGGAAAGTTGGTGCCGTGGCGAATTCGTTATAAACACATCCGGTCGTTGGAGCGATTGCATTCCAGCATGCACAATAGGGTCCCAATCAGTTTGAGCAAGCAGACAGGGTAACTTAGCACTGGTTGAAAAAGAAATCGCGAGGAAGAAGTATGGATGACCATTTTGGACAGATCTTGGAAGGAGCTAACATCGATTCCCTCAGATGGGCTGGCGAACACGTGGAGCTCGAACACGTGCATTCTTCGGTCCACGTATGCAGACCAACTGGGGATATCACCATTCTGACGAGAGGGGCACTGCGTTCTCAGCCAAAAACACGACCCCCTGACGTGTATCCACGTGCCACGGCTGACAGGTATACACATTGAGGGTGGCTGCAATAGAATGACTAGCGAAGACTACACCATTGAGGCGGAAAAGAAAAACGTACAACGTTCAGCAAAAGGGATACTTGTTGGAATATCTCAACAGAAAAAAGAGGGTAGATGGTCGATTTTGCCAAGGAAATACCGTCGACCCACCATAGACTGTTGAACTTTGTCCCCGGGCAGAAAAATACGGTATACAGTATTAATACGGTATACGTGTGCAGCTGCACAACAACTTTGAAGCTGGGGAGGCATGTGTTTCCCGCGGCATACACGTTATTGGGGGCCAGATAGTATTCCGAACACCATCTTAGGGTGCATTCCAGGCTCTGGTCAGAACCTCTGGCTAATACTATAGCCAAGCTTACAATGAGCACAATTGGTGTGAATTAGGTACCATAGGGTGGCATCCACGGATAACCAGAGGTTTGACCAAAGCTCAGAATGTACCCGTACTTCACATCACCGTCTTGAAATGGCCCGGCTAGTTAGCCGTGTCACTTAATGAATATCAGATTCTTGTACGGATACGTATGGAGGAAATTTGAATATTACGAGTCCTTCAAGTTTTTGGAAAAACAAGACAGTGGATGGAGTTTAGAAGGCAGGAAAATGAATGAAACTAGAGACTGTCCTTCAGTCAGTAGAGTACGGGGCCACTACTGACGAGACTTACTACTCGCTCGACCTCTCTGACCCTCACCGAGTGACTTGAGAAAACTGAAACGAGAATGAATGAACTATGAATGAAGTAGGTACAAGTACTAACCCTAATTGGGTTGTACCCCCTATGGGATACCCCACTACAGCCTATACAAAAGCATAAGCTATGATGTTCTGACACACCCCCATAGGCAAAGTGGGGGAGAACAGGGGGTCAAAAGACCAGTCAAGCAAAGCAAAACAAAGCAAAGCTCAAGGTGGATCACAAAGTCACCACACATTCCGAGCACAAGTACAAGGCCACAAGGCCAGTTCACATGCAGTGGTACATATACATATATATATAAGGCTAGACAAGCAAGAGCAAGTATATCTATATATGTAACAGTACAAGCAAGGTCAAGAGGTGAGCAAGTGAGGCAAGACAATGACAAGACCCAACTGAGTGCAGAAGCGCTGATGATCACAAGGCGGAAGTGCCTTGGTGAAAACATCAGCAGTCTTGGCCTCAAAGGCCACGTACGCAAGCCGCAACTGTCCACGCTGCTGAAGCTCACGAGCAAGAAAGTAGCGGAGAGCAATATGATTTGTTATGTGCTCCACTCGTTGCTCTCGATACAACGCCAGCATGGCCTTGTTGTCTACGTACAGCACTGGAGGAGAACGAGGCGGCTCTCCGGGGTCAGTCAGCACGTAGGTGAGCCAGCGAAGCTCCTGTGCAGCCATGACCCCAGCGTGGATCTCAGCCTCACAACTGGAGCCGAGAACAGAAGACGAGCGAGTAGCCCGCCACGAGACAGAGCCGGAACCAAGGCTGAAGGTGTAACCCTGTGACGACCGCTGCGTCGCCTGGTCGTCAGCCCAAGAAGCGTCTGCGTGCCCGGTAAAGACCACTGGACTGCGCCCTCCAAGCACTAGCCCCATGCCCGACGTACTGCACAAGTAGCGCAACACCCTCTGAAGGACCTGCAACACCATGTGTGACTGAGTCAGGGTAATGGTGCGGCGTGCTCTGTCCCGGGTGATCTGCAAGCCAAGGTAGCTGCGCAGTTCACCCAGGTCTGTGCTCGTGTGTCTCTTCTGCAGCTCTGACTTCACGTAGGCGAGTCCAGCAGTGTCAGCAGTGGCGAAGACCAAGTCGTCGACGTACACGAGGATGTAGAACGGCAGCAGAGAGGTGTCGGTGCATAGAAACAGCGACGGGTCGGCAGTAGAAGGAGCAAACCCAAGAGCCGCAAGTGTAGTCCTCAGTGTGTCCTGCCACTCACGTGGCGCCTGGCGGAGACCGTAAACTGGACGCCGGAGGCTCCACTGGGTACAGGGAGAGAACGACCCAGTGAAGCCAGGTGGGCACCGCAGCCAGATCTCCTTGTTCAGGGTGCCCTGTAAGAAAGTTGTGCTGAAGTCGAGAGAGTGCAGCTCGTAGTCACGGTGAGCAGCAACGTGCAGCAGTACCCGAAGAGTGGTCATCTTCGGGGTGGGAGAGAAGGTCTGAAAGTAGTCAACTCCGTGCCGCTGACAGAAGCCACGAGCCACGTAACGTGCCTTGAAGACAGGCGGAGAAGCCGGCGGCCGCTTCACTCTAAAGATCCACATGCCACTGACGATGTTCGCCCTAGGAGGAGGAACCGCGTCAACGTAGGTGCCTGTGGATTTCCAGGAAGCCATCTCTGCATCCATAGCTGCCTGCCACTGAGAGGAGTAGGGACCCTCTAGCGCCTCCGCTTAAGAGCGCGGAGTCGGGATGTCAAGTGCATCCGGGTCTCCCTCAGGGGTAAGCAGTACGGACACGAGATGAGGTGAAGCAGCGGCCAAGCACTAGAACTCCTCCTGCCTTTCCTCAAGGACGTCCGTGCCAAGGGCACACTCACCCTCGACGGACGGAGGACAGACAGACTCAAACTCAGCAACAAAACTGGCAGCATACTTTAGACGACAGCAAGCAGCAAAGTCGACGAGCTGAGCAACTAGGGCAGACGCAGCAGTGGACTCAAAGGAAGGGTCAGTGACAACAGTAGCAAGGAGACGCGTGACAGTAGGACTTGCAGCACGAAGAGAGTCCGACTCCGGGTCGACAAGAGCAGGAAGAGAAGACCCAGGAGGAGAAGGCAAAGGGGCACGTAGAGGAGCAGTGGACGGACGCAGAGACATTCGGTGTGTGCCAGGGACAGGAGGAGGACGCTGACGCGAACCGCGACCACTAGTGCGAGCAGCACGGACTGGCGACGCAGGGCGAGACGCAGGCTCATGACGCTCAGCAAGACCTCCAGTAAGACCAGTGTAGGGAGACGGAGCAGGCAGTGGGGAGGCCGGCTGTAACTGTAACTGTGACGAGACAGGCTGTGGACACTCTAAGGGAGGAGGAGGACCAGTAGAAGGCGGGAGACCAAGAACCTGCTGAAGGAGCGGAACAAAGTACGGCCGAGGTCGTGCGGCGACTCCAGACACAGCAGGGACAACACCAGTACCCCCAGCGGTAGCACCAATACAAGCAGCACCTCCAGCTCCAATACCTCCAGCAGTACCAGTAGCACCCTCTACAAGAACGCCTCCATGATCGACAGCAGTAGCCTCCGCGCTAGCACCCGGAACAGCTCCCGCTCCAGAAGTACCCGCAGGCCCAGCAGCTCCAGTACTCTGAGTATGAGCACCGCCGAGACCCGCGGCACCAGCACCCACAGCAGCAGTAGAACCTCCAGTACCCGTAGCACCTCCAACTCCAACATCTCGCCTCCAGCGCCGGGCAAACCACTCACGCAGCTCCTGTGGAGAGAGTGTCTCCCGGCAAGACGAAGCACCCGAAGAACCGCAAGGCTCAGCACCGCCAAACGCCCCACGAGCAGGCCCAGCTCCCTCAAGCTCAGCACCTCCAGGCGTAGTACCCCCAGTCTCTGTACCCCCAAGTGCAGCACCCCCAGGCTCAGCACCCCCACGCTCAGCACCCCCCGACTCAGCACCCCCAGGCTAAGCACCCCTACTCGTAGTACCCACACGCTTATCACCCCCAGATTCAACACCCCGAGAGTCAGCACCCCCAGGCTCAGCACCCTCAGCTGCACCATAGTCACCAGCGACCTCGACAGGCTTGACAGCGTCTACTTGGGACACACCTGAAGGGGCAGGACCCTGAGGGGGGAGGGGGTCTACCGAGGTGGGGACCTGGCACAAGGAAGAGCGGTGGCTGGGGGAGGGTCGGAGTGCGGTAGGGGAAGAGACGATAGTAGGGGACCGACTCGTGGAACGTGACGTCCTGGGAGGACAAAATACGGCAAGAGGTGGGGTGGTAGAACTGCCACCCTGGCGCGTCAGGGGGGAAACACAGGAAGACGCAAGGAGGAGCACGAGGGGACAGCTTGTCCGCAGACAAGTCGCGAACAAACGCCCGAGATCCCCACACACGGAACGCAGACGCATCGCCAACCTTCCCCGTCCACAA